GGCTGCTGCAGCGGGGCTGCCTCTTCGGTTATTCATTCAAAAGAGACAGGAGAGCAGCCGTGAGTCACGCTTTTCTGTCCATGCTGGTGCATGCTTGCCTCCTTTTCGTACCCTCTGCAGTGTGAGTTCGGAGGGTCCCTAGGCGCGAGTGCCTTCCTCCATAACATCCCGAAGCTCTCTGTCCTTCGGAAAAAATGAATCACCTCCTCTGTGCTAGTTGTGGCCTGGGACACGTAGTAAAAGCAAGAAGATGAGCACAGCCTGATGGAATGGACCTGTGTTGAAGGAGACAGGGTCGATGCTGCTGCCTAGTGACCCTTGGGAAAGGGGTGCAAATCTTCTTGGGATGTGTCAGCGCAATGTGGCTGTTTTCTGCAGATTTCCTTATGCATCCCAAATGCAGCCTTTCCCGTGGACTCCATCTTGTGGATATTGCACATATTGGTGTATGCGTGGCATGGGAGGGGGCTCTAAAAATTAGCCCTGCTCCATACATAAGAAACTGCAGACAACTTACTTTTAAACACATTCTTCACAGTAGACATAGCCCACTGTGTCATTTTGATCCATTCCCTGTATACATCTTCTGACATGTGGGAATGTATACAGCCTCTGTCGCAAAACCAGCTCTCTCAAGGGGAAGATCCAGTTGGCCCCTACCTGAGATGTTGTGTAGTATAGTTATCTTAACTGATTTCCAGCATGGGTGCAGACATCTCCCACAGCTAATGAGCTTATAATCTTTTTGCTCTTGAGCTGTATTTATCAATGGTGGGATGAGATGCACATACAGATGAAAGTTTACAGGGGACAGCAATTCAGACTAGCATCTTCTGGCATTTAGAGTGGAATTTAGCTTCCCTGACTTGGACATCTAGAGGTAGTAGGTTGGATTTATACACTATTCTCCTAATGACAGGCATCTGAGATGCCTCAGGTAAGACTTCCAGAAATGCCTGTTTCTTTCAGGGTCTAAAGGAGGAATAATCAGGTGACTGGTTGCATTTCCAACACCTACATTTTAGATGCTTAAGGGCAGAAAATTCCACTTCTGGTGGTCAGAATTGCATATTACTTGGTAACATTGAACATAGTGACAGAGCACCTCCTAAATGCTTGTATAACGTGCAGGATATTCTACCCACAGGGAAATAGTGGGGAAGGCTGGAGAGATGTGAGGGTGTGCATACAGGCTCCGGCATATATATAATGCATATTTAGTCATAGAACAAGAACTGTGTTATTTAACAGAGCCAACCCAAATCTGCAAGTGTTAAGGACTCTTTAAGATGAGCACAGGTGATAGAACACCTCAGAGTGGATGGGGTCTGGGCAATGGACTGTGGGAAACCAAGAGAAGAGAGTGCAGAGGTGCTGGCCAGAGAGCAGCCAAATAACAGTAGATATATAATCCCTGTCTTCATTCATCTTGAAGTCCAGTGTGCTGACTTGGGTTAATGACAGTACTTTCAGAATGCTGAAAATAATTGTGCCACAGGGACTGGCAGAAGCTAACTGCCTGAGGAAAGGAGTGCATACTAATAAATATCTAGGATCTGTTCATCCAACACATCCATCCTGCTGCCATTGTCTCTCTAGCTTGCAGAAGTCATTCCTACATGTCCCAGTTGCTTGCTTGCAGCATTCATAATAGCTGAGGTATTGATGATGGTGATAGTCAAGTTGTTGGGAGACTTTGCAATTGGCTTGATCTCTGTGGTGGGCTTTTGTATATGACTACTGTGGTGCAAGGTAGCCACATCTTAAGCTGTCAGACAAGTGCTTCACATTGGCAGGTTCACTGACATTCTTCAGTCCAACTCCCCAGAAGCACCTCAGACTGTCATTCAGGAGACACCTCTGGTGCCTTAGACCTTTCTAGAAGAAAAAAAAAATCGAATATGACATCTTTATCTTTATTTGCTTTCTCCCTGCATTACAGGATCACCATTCCCCTTTCATACCACTGCCGCCCCCCCTGCCCTGACTCTCATGTGGATGCCTGCAGCATCCTATGAGATCTAGACTAATGGTGCTCCACAAATTGCTTGTAGGAAGCACCCACTAGCCCTTTATTCCCACTGAAGTCTTGCACACAGTTAAATTGCTCCTTCTTTTTGTTTGCAGTGCGTAAGCAAGAGATCATTAAGATAACAGAGCAGCTGATAGAAGCCATCAATAATGGAGACTTTGAGGCTTATACGTAAGTACAGATGTCTTCTGACAGGTTGTTTATCAGTTTGTGTGCAAGTGATATTCTGGCTTCTGGGTATGAGGGCTTGTCTTGCAGTCAGAGATGACAAAAAGTTATATGCTTTTTAGCCTTCATCAGTTAGAAGTAGGGATATGTTAGAGCAGAAGCCAGGTAACAGACAGCAATGGGAGTGACAAAAGGGAAATGTCCTGGCTTTTTAAGAAAAGTAGGGGGGAGGGCAGTGAGATGGGCAGAAATAGAATAAAAGAAAAGCCAGAAACCTAGAGGTTGTTTTATGTGAAATGCAAACTATCAGCAACTCCTGTGTTGTTGCTGTAGGACTGAGTTCTCCAGGAACTTATGTAGGGA